AATTAATTAAATTATTTTTCGGTGAAATTTTGCGGTGTATCGATTATTTCCTCGAAATTAATATATCTAAGTACAGGGTGTATACTAAAACAATTAGACAACTCGCCTTCGTTGCCTATGAGCGGATAGTCAACTCAGGCTTCGCCTTCGTTGACTATTCGCTCATAGACAACTCGGACTCGTTGTCTAATTGTTAAATGTACGTACACTCACAAAAAATCCACAATGCATAGCGCTACGAATTGATAATAAGGGAAGCGAAATATCAAGAAATCCCCAAAGAATCTCAGGTACATAGAATATAATACGCTAGATGGTTCTATTAAGTAAAAAGGTATAGTCTGTTTATCACACCATGATTCATTCTTTGAAGCTACTAAACTTCCAATAGCGGCAACCCACCGTTCCAAATAGTGAAACATTTTAACGCCGTTCAATTATACAAAAGCTTCATAAAGCGTATTAACAATGCAGAAATATTGGCTATGTCGTAATTGTTTTCCTAGTGGAAAGAACTATTAGATCAATAGCAGAACCGTGCACATGAATGAACGTTTTAAGTAAGTCTACAATGTCAATATGATCACATCCTAAAATAGCCGAACGTATATACGGTTATCTATAGCTCACTTGAGCTAAATCTCTTTTCAAACGGCATGCATTATAAAAGCCTTAATTCTATATATAGTAAAAACGCAAGAAATTTCGATATATATATATATATATATATATATATATATATATATATATATATATATATATATAATAATACTTATATGAAGTACAAAATTATAGTTTCAGGAAAACAATTTAACAAAAGCTTAATACTTCATCACAATTTCTTTGCACTTTTGTAGAACTTAATCGTAATAGCCTCACATGCATGATTTTACATACACTGTGTACTATGTAACATATTTCGATACAATAAAGCTTACTCTGAGGACTATAAGAGGACTAACCACGATTGTAATTCACGATTTGCGCAATTTCGTGCTTTTTGATCTACGCAAGATAATCCAACCAAATTACCACAGCTGCATGAAGAAAGAGTATCAAAATTAGTGCAAATGCAAAGTTTGGTTGTGAAATGTCGTAACATGCGAAAAATATAGCCTTGCAAATTTGGCAAATTTGTATATACTTTTGTAAATTGTTACCACATTCGGGCCTTTGCAAGGCTATATTTTCCACATTTTGCGACATTTCGCATGCAACCCGAGTAACTTAACATTTTACTAATTGTGATTTGATTGGATTATCTTGCATAGATCAAAAAGTAGTGTATAATGTAAAAGATCTATTAAATCAACATCTATTCATTGACCATAGTATTATATATTTGCCGACACATATAGCAAGAGAGATTGTTAAAATAAGGAGCCTATTGTTCGCTAGTGAAACTTTTGCTATATGCATGCGTAATTAATTATTTAAGATAAGCAAGTGAAACGGTCATTGCAAAATAGAGCAGTCTTTTTCACATTAACTATAATTAATTGTGTCGAATGATCAACGATATCCAACTTTAGCAAACAATTATACACAAGTTAAAATTACACTGGCTCCAGGGGCCGGTTGTATCAAGCCCGTTTAGCTTAAACGGTGTTACTTAACGGTGATACTAAAAAAAATTACAATATTTTCTATCTTTATATACTATGAGCAAAACTCAACTAAGGCGCAGTAAATGACATATTAAAACTGCACAGCATTTAATGCTATTTTTTACTCAACGAGTAAAAGAAATATAATTTGAACTTTTTCATACGTGCGCAGAATCATTTGCACCATTTGAACTTTACCGCGCGTGCGCAAATGCACGCTTTCATAAAGAAAGTGCTTGAGTGCAAAGCAGACGTATAAGTATAATAAAGTAGTTTACTATAGTTTCTAGTGAAGCTTGAGTTTCCTTTGCCGCACAATAGAATCACTATAGACTGAGTTAATGAGTTAAACTGTGTATATATATATATATATATATATATAATTTCTGAAGAAGGCTGCGGCATGTGGCCGAAAATTTAAGCTTAGTATATTTTTAATAAAATCTTTTAGTTTTACTTCTGGCCGTGGTAGTTACAATTGTTTCCTATATATATATATATATATATATATAATAATATATTATATATTATATATATATATATTATATATATATATATATATATATATATATATATATATGTATATATATATATATATATATATATATATATATATCTATGAGAAAGGTATCTAACATACGGCTAACGCACTCATAGTCATAGAACAACTGCATGCAAGACTTGTTTATTGTACTTGGTATATTGTTAAATAAATTTAGCCGACGTGGATGTACCTACGCACATGCACGCATGCACGTATAAAGATAAGAGAAAGCATTTTGTATATACAAAACTCGGAAGCTGCATGGTTTGAAAATATCTATAATATATATCTGGATGCAATGAGCGCTCATGCAGGGTTTGCAAGAAACGTATATACGGATTGAAAAACGTTTTAGGAACCCTTCAATCAGGGAATAACATGGAAGAGATTGAAAACTATGTAAGTCTTTAGAGATAGATAGGGCGCTGTTTAAGGATGGAAAGCAATGTTGTAGCTAAATAAGATCAGTCGAAAAACATTGAAAAGGATTTCAATGAAGAAATTCGAAGACGTATATTTAGCATCACTTTTCTAAATTCAACGAGGTGCATGGATTGCATGTGTAGCTTTATTCTGAGTTATTAATAGACTTCTGAATCAAAGTTCTAATGTCGCATGCATGCGTGTTGTAAGACTGCATGGAACACCCCACTGTCAAAACTCGTATTAGTTTAATAAAGAATTTTTAATTTGGAGCCGAACTGTCCCAGCTACAGACTATACAGCGGCGTCATTTTTGGAGCGATGCCACGAGTTCACAGGGGGCTCTATTGACTAGAACTCCACTAAACTTGCAAGTTGCATGAAGCTATTGTGAATATGCCAAAACTATATAGATAGAATGGAGTATATTTATATACAAGAAGATCATTAACTGATAAACATGAGACAGCCTTGACCTCCGACAATTTCAAGCAGCCAGATACATGCAAAAAAACACTCCATGCTGGCTAATATAGAACTGAACTAACTTTAAGATACAGATCAACATTGCACCAATTTGAGCAGTTTCTCCATTAAAGCATTGAAAAATTTACTTTAACCAGTCTATTGTCGTATAAAGATTAGTCAAATTAGCTTGCTGTTTGAATTTCCAAAAATCTATAGCAATGAAGTATTGATCCACAGTTGATTCGCACTTATACGTCTCCTCTAAAAGCTCATCACATGCATGCACTGAAACTTATATTCAATGGGAGATATGACATAACTCTACATAACGATTCCTTTGCAATATTTCCAGTCGAATATAGTGCTTGATTTTCAATGTTTTACTTCATACCTTTCCATTGATTAAGAGAGGACCATCTCTTTGATCAGTAAAAACACAATTTCTTTCACACTCAATGTGTGTGAATGTGAGTGAGCTTTTTGAATACAGGCGTTTTATTAACAAATCCTATATATGCACTGCCTAATTTTTCATTTCTGTATGTTCGGCCATGCATGCATATGATGAAAAGGTTTGCAAAATAATTGCAGCACTCTACAGATAATATTGAGTTTATTAAATAGACTTTAACAAATTCCTATTAGAACCTAATTGGGTTCCGGAGGATTATTTTGTATATATAGTATACAATAAGTTATAAACAAGCGATTATATAGTTACAAGTTAAAGTGAGTCACAACTCATGTATTCATGTATTTCCCAATATAAAATATTACTTTTGACTGAATTTTGACGTTTGGTTGAATACCATGAAGTTTACATAACCCCACATCAGTATCTATATAATATGTTCACCTTTGATGAAAGTTTTCACTTTGCAATTAGAGTTACCTCCTGGACCCCCAGGATAAAGTATAGTGCTAAAGCTTCCATAGCGTCCGAACCTTTGGAGCCGTAAGGCAAATCACAAAAGAGCAGCTGTCAATCTCGTTCTGATACGCGACGATTACGAATCTTCTCTATGGTCTGCAGAATCTGACAACTGAACAAGCGAAGCAGTGGGGCGTGGGCGCCGGGATTCCTCCGACGAAAGGAAGGATATTGGCCCTGTTCTATTATTCAAAATAATAACATTTTAATTAACTTCTTATTAGATGATTGTCATTGTGTGTATGATCGGCGTTTCAACTCTTTAAAGCCCGTTAGCCAGTATACAGACAGCGTTTGTACATAATTGGTAGATCATATAGTTGTTTTTTTATGACATACTTATAGCATAGTTAAATGTTTTATACAACTGCGCCAAGTTCAAATGTTCACACAAAATGTTCACACTTTTTGCGACGATTACAGTCGCTAATTCCCTAATCACGTTGCTGAATTTCGTTGTCGGCGCGGACAAATTTGCGTCGTGGAAAACAGTTAACGATTGGCAAATTCTATCGCTCTTTACTTTATACACTAGCTCTAGCAAAGGCTTTCGTCAGAAAGATATGGTCGTATATGTCAGAATGCAAAAAAATGGAAAATATAGTTTTGAAAGCAAAATCTCAACATTTCGTTTCGCGCGCTTTTCTCAACCCTCGCAACATTCCCGCGTGTTTGGATCAGGCCATCCAAACACGGAAACCATCAAGAAATTGTTAATCATTTATAGTGAGGAGAATTGAGCAAATTATTTCCCAAATTATTTCGTCGAAATTCCCCCCAACGGATGAATGGATGGTCTATAAATAATACAATACGGTATACTGTCTGTAGGTGCGTGTAGTCCACGCGAGACGTGACGTCAGATAAATAGTATCACATCCCAGCCAGAAATTGGGGACTGGGATGTGACATCCCGGAAAATCAACTGCTCATGTGGTACAAATACTGCTTTCCAATTGGACAATTTGAATTGTAAGCATAATATACGCCTATATTTGTACTCTCGAGACAAGGCAATGTTCGGCAAAAGACCATATGATCTATATTTATTGGCCGCAAAGTGCGACTTTTGAACACAACAAAAATTAACAATTTTTTTAAAATAATCCCCAGATAATCTTAAAACGAACGATTGTTCGCCACCGTAAAGCTGTAACATGGTCACGTTGTTTATGTATCCAGATTTCGTCGGATTAATGTTTAAAACGGTTGCAAAACCTACTCATTTATGTTACCATCGATCCTGCGCAAAGTCTCTTGTTCTGTGCGCATCAACTATTAATGACTTTTAAAATAATGTCGACAGTCAAGCTGTAATCTTTCGCAAGCGAATATACGCATCTGATTGAAGATACATCATCGCCTGGTTCTCTTTCGACCTGGACGAGTTACATTGGACGACTGTCTTGGTTCCTCAGGTTGAGAGTTCGTCGCAGTATCAGCTTCTTAAATGATAAACGCGGTATGAATGATAGAAGCTTACTTAAGTAGGTATACTCAGCCTTTATTTTACGTTAATATATCTGTTTTTTACAGAACCTACAGTAAAACAGTTCTTACATGCACATATAAACACATAAGTGCATTACCTTCGTTTTGACAAAGTGTTTCATCGATTTCATGAGGCCAATCAATATTACAGTTAGAACATTTTCTTACGCTTCTATAACGACCAATAGAACAAAAAAATTAAAATATACTTTCAATACCGTTCTCATGATGTTATAACCTACAGTATTTGGGTCCGGGTGCAATTTAGCCTAATCCATCTGCCACCGCTAGTATTACAACTGCCCCTGCCACTACTGCTACTACTCTCACTGCCAAACCTATCTTCGCTGCCACCCCTGCACCCACCTTGTACCACTACCACTCTCACTTCTACGCCCATCTACACTGCTACACCCGCACCACTGCCACACCTATCTTCACTGCCACCCTTCCACCTACCTTGTAACACTACCACTCTCACTGCTTCCCCCATCTTCACTGTTACCATCCTACCTGCACCACCCACTGCGCCACACCTATCTCCACTGCCACCCTTCCACCTACTTTGTAACACTACCACTCTCACTGCTACACCAATCTTCACTGCTACATCCATTTTCACTGCTACCCCCGCACCACTGCCACACCTATCTTCACTGCCACCCTTCCACCTACCTTGTAACACTACCACTCTCACTGCTACACCAATCTTCACTGCTACGCCCATCTTCACTGCTACCCCCGCACCACTGCCACACCTATCACCACTGCCACACCTATCTCCACTGCCACCCTCTGCACCTACCTTGTAACACTACCATTCTCACTGCTACACCCATCTACACTGCTACACCCGCACCATTGCCAAACCAATCTCCACTGCCACCCTTCCACCTAAAACTCTCACTGCCACACCTATCTCCACTGCCACCCCTGCACCTACCTTGTAACACGACCACTCTCACTGCTACGCCCATCTACACTGCTACCCCCGCACCACTACCACACCTATCGCCGCTGACACTCCCGCACCTACTACGTATTACTATCTCTCCCACTGCCAAACCCATCTCCATCGCCATCCAGTAATAATCTGCTACTACCTCTTCCACTTCCACACCTATCCGCACTACCACTACCTCTGCCACACTTATCCACACTGCGACTTTTGTACCTACTTCGCACCACTACCTCTACCACAATTATCTACTCTGCGACTCCTGTACCTACTTCGTACCACTACCTCTGCCACAATTATCCACACTGCGACTACTGTACCTACTTCGTACCACTACCTCTGCCACAATTATCCACACTGCGACTACTGTACCTACTTTGTACCACTACCACTACCTCTGCACACTGCGACTCCTGTACCTACCTCGTACCACTACCACTACCTCTGCCACACTTATCCACACTGCGACTCCTGTACCTACTTCGTACCACTACCACTACCTCTGCCACACTTATCCACTCTACGACTCCTGTACCTACTTAGCACCACTACCTCTACCACAATTATCCACACTGCGACTCCTGAACCTACTTCGTACCACTACCTCTGCCACAATTATCCACACTGCGACTACTGTACCTACTTTGTACCACTACCTCTGCCACACTTATCCACACTGCGACTCCTGTACCTACCTCGTACCACTACCACTACCTCTGCCACACTTATCCACACTGCGACTCCTGTACCTACTTCGTACCACTACCACTACGTCTGCCACTATTATCCACACTGCGACTACTGTACCTACTTTGCACCACTACCACTACCTCAGCCACACTTATCCACACTGCAACTCCTGTACCTACTTCGTACCACTACCTCTGCCACACTTATCCACACTGCGACTCCTGTACCTACTTTGTACTACCTCTGCCACACTTATCCACACTGCGACTCCTGTACCTACTTTGTACCATTGCCTTTCCCACTGAAACTCCCACTACCACACCTATCCTCACGCCCACTTCCACTGATAATACAATGCAGAAAATGCAATTTGCTACATCTCACCTTCCTTTAAAATATCTTGCCGCGCAATGATGATGTATTTTGAAATCACAAGCAACACAACTTTGCCCCTAGTTAAGAATTAAAAGGAATTGGAAAAATTATACACGGCGACTAAACTGATTGTAAATCTACAGTCCAGGGGTGTCCAGTCGTAATATCAACAAACAATTTGTTTACATTTTGTTGTTAATTTTTTTTTAACTACGACGAACGGTCGCCTTATCCCAAACATTATTGGTTAAATGAATATAGGAATGAGTGTGCAGAAACGAGTGCGAGTCCGCATCCAAAACATGCGAAATGTATAAATCATTAAATACTTTTAGGCACGAAGCGCATGCTCGCTGGCCAGTCATTTTTGACACCATTATTCCCTTTTTAGTGAAAAAACAGCAAAAATAAAATACCACAGGCGACAGGTTCGATGAAAAGGTTATAATTTATGAAAAATGGAGTTTATCTGAAGACAGAAAATGCAGATAATAGGTGTGAATATACCCACCCGAAGAACAAAATCCATACATATTTTACAATCCATCACATAGTCTTCATAAACTCTCTTGAGGTACGGTTGAAGTTCCAGTACAGCTCGAGGACCGAGCCAATAATCACCTAACGACTAAATAAAGATTACTTATTTTAAATAGTTAGAAAAGAGAAAAGATTCACCACACTCACGAAGAAGATGGACGTTCTTGGAAGAAAAACCAAAAGGAGTCTATTTTCTTTGTCATGGTGATATTTTATGTCAATAGCCATTTTCTTTTTAATATTTTCCGGTCATGCATTCCAAGGAAACATACATCCTCTTCGTAATAGTAAATAGTTGCTCAATACTTTTATCCTTAATGATCATCTTTACGACCTTGTAACATAACACCTTGTAAATAGATCTAATTAGCTTATATATATTCAAATTTAGTCTGAAGATGTCTTAAGTTAAAGACGAATGTTTAATGGCTTTGTTAAAAGTTATATGTTGGGTTTTCATATTTATTCTAAGAATTCGTTTCCCGCCAGGCATATCTCTGGCTAGGATATTGATCAATAGTTGTTCAATGATCACGGACCATCGGTCATACATCATTAGAGATGAACTGCGACTTGTGAGAGCGAAGAAAGTTTACCTGAGAAAGCCACTTGCCTTTTACCCACATATTGAGAAGTTTCTAGTGATATAAAAAAGTAAACAGTTTTCGACATAAAACAATTTGTCAACTTAATATAAGAAAATATATCTAAGGAGAAACAGTTTTTAAAATGATCAATGATTTAAAATTTTCAAAAACACGACCACCATCTTGAAATGCGTTCGTGATGGATCCTGAGGGCTGGATGGGGATTTGACCGCTTTCACGTTTGTGAAAACGTTTTTTAGATCACTATCTTATAGAACAGCGAATTAATCGTGAATTTCATGTTCCAACCATAGCGTGCGTAAAATTTATGACTGCTGCTACAATGTCTTAAAGAAAGTGTTGTCCACAGTAAATGTGTCGTATGGTTCCTCATAGTAACTACTTTGCAATCGGCAGCACTCCCCTCACTAAAGAAGACTGTGAAAAATTGTCACCTGCAGTAAAGGCAGACTATGGAGAGAAGTACCTGATGCAAGGGATTTACTGCAGAATCTCTGTTTTGCATCTTAACTGCAGTTACAGTAAAACTAATAATCAATTGCCATGTACCTCAGCATGTGAAGCACTCATCGATTTCTGTAAATCAGCAGCGCCGTGAAGAAGTTCCACGGAAGTTGCCGTTCCATCATCCGACTGGACAAAAGTATCTAACTACAAAGATTAAAAAAATAAAGATATCATGTGATCCAAACATAGAGATTTAGACATCACGTGATCCAAACATACAGTATGGGGGAGGGAGAGAAAGCTCTGGGGAGGGGGGAAGCTTGGAAGATACGTGCTTGAGAGCAAATTTCCACTACCCTTAATTCCATCTATCATGCCGTGGCAATTATATCTGTGGTAACTAAATATGGTAACCTATTTATATATACATGTCTACTGTGGTACATATGGGTTATTATATCCAGTATTTAACGAATATATATTCATACGAAAACTGTTCAGCAAAAATTCTTACCACTTTCCTGAAATATTCGACGTCATGTGCCGTGTAGCTTGTCGCAAGCTTCGAAATTTGATCTTCACTACTGTTCACCTAGACCAACACAGCGAACACAGTATAAGCTTACCATCACCTACTCGCAAGCATCACCATCCACGCTCGCTCTGTTCAACCCCCGGTAGCTCAGTGACAATCTTGAGCATTCCTCCTTACACTTTTTTACGATTCAAAGGGAAATAACTCTGTTTTGTATTTGTAAATTTTGTATGGGGCAAACTGGAAATGGCAATTTAGGGGAAAACATTAACTCTCTTCGTGAACGTTCCAAAAATATTCTTGGACGATTGAAAAGGCGTATTGTATATTATATTGTGAGATTCATGGATAATTAACGAGTCTAATTTTGGTTATTTGTATGCATCTGTAATTCTCCAATTAGTAATTCATATATTAACTTTGATACAACTAATCTTAATTAGTATTCATAACTTTGTTAAGGCTATTCTCCATTACCGTCTGCTTCACTCGCGCAGCGGGGCGGACGTAATGGGGAATCGCCTTTATGGATCTAATGGACAGCGTTTACACACATCCTGAATATGCATTAAGCTTAATTTATTCATTTCACAAGCACGTTAAAATACTCGCGGCCGATCTGTATGGCATTTACAATGCCTCGTTCTAGTTTCTACCACTCGCCATTGTAAATAGCCATACAAAGCGGCGTATTTTAACTAGTAGCCACTAATCATACCAATCCGTAGTAATATTTCCCGTCATCTTCTGAAACGCCTTTTCGTATTTCCAAAAACAACGGTTGTAGAGCATTATTAATGGTGTTTATACATCTCTGGAAATTGGCTGGATCAAAATTATCTGTGAAAGAAAAGGCATTTTTAGCAACGCATCTTCTGCCCGATATAGTTACTACCTTTTTTTTACTTACGCAGTCATGTACGCAAAAAGACATGTACATAAATGACTAGCGGAATATTAAGGACGTGCTACACGGTGCAATCTTTTATGCAACTTGCAATCACAATTCTAGTTTGGGTATAGATGTAAATTAACAATTAGAAAACTTTAGTCTTTAATACACTCTATATGCATCGACTTTTATTACACTTTGAAGACTCTTTACTAATCTGAAAAATTGCATGGTGTAACACGGCCTTTAGGGTCGGTAAACTCATCCGAGACTGGAAACTCGACGGGGAAGGGGACAGGGGGAGAGAGTGCATGGGGGGAAGGGGGCGGGGGGAAACTCAGTCTGCACAAAAAGGCCTCGGTCCGTTAGGTCTCAGTAAAAAGATCGCTCTCGTTAAATAAGAGTTAAGTTAGTAATACGAAAATATCTGTAATTTGCGGCATGAAGGTGTTGAGTCAAATGGTAATCTGAATAATAATAATATGCTGTAAGCCTTTAAATTTCTCATGGTTATTCACTAATGGGTAACAAAACAAAATGCTTTATCACTTTATTCATAGTGCTCAGAGATATTCCAGTGTAATTCCACATGTAGCAATACGTACATTGGGCGCGAATGTGAATTTTTTGCGCAAGCAGCAATGCTTTTTAAAGCCTTCAAAGCTGTTAACTTTATTTGTTATATAGGTGGCATCCTATGTGATTGGTTCATTCGTAGTCACATGACTTTAAATAAATGCAATGTTTCCCGCCAGGGAAACAAGTGAAAAATTGTTGCCCGCTCGACTTCGTCTCGGGAAACATTCAAACTCTTAGGAAAACAAAACTCACTATTTTCCTCGGGAGCATACATTAGGTGTATAACATTTACTGGGATATTTTGCTTATGCTCTGGCTTAGAGGATGCAATTTTTCTCGCAACTTTCAATGCTATTCTACTTTTGGGAGATGTAAATTTCGCGAAACTTTCGGGCTCATTATGCCATACATAAATACATTTCGAAAATTCTTCACTAATTTACATCTCTCAAAAGTAGAATTGCATTGCAAAGTTCATGAAATTTCGCACCGTGTTAACGAGGGGCATCAATGTTTTTCGCCTTTGTCCGCCGGTCGAACAATGTTAATTAAGCAGAGGGAGCGATTTTTGTTTTGATACTTTTGTTTGCATAAATAAAGGCTATATCCAAGGAATGCAGTCATTACGCAATACAACAAAAATTTTCATTTCTCACTAGAGTCTTGACAGATGTGAGCTTTGCTTTCATGTTACACCATTTATATACGTACATGTGAGTCTCCAAAAGCTGCTTTTTCGTTTCAACGTTACGTGCGTGCACATACGAGCAAAAAACGCGAGAGAAGAAAGCAACCCTTAGGGCGAATTCATTATCGCAATTTTTTGCGCGTACTTGCAAGTACGTACACGCACGCAAAAGTCGAAAAACTTCTAAGATGTTGTATAATTAATTTTATGCCAGAAAAAAACACACTAAATCATCAACAGAATCCAAACTTTATGAAATCAACGATCTATTTATTCGATGATTTTTATTTGATGATTTTTATTTGATCAGTCAAATTATTTTAAACGTTTACGTAAGTTGAATCACCGACAATTCGTTTTGCAACTTTGTCTGAAAGAACGAAAATGCTGAAAAACAAAAACTTGCTTTTATATTAGGGTGCTCTTCCATTATTAGGTGGAATTCTACGAAATTTTACGAAATCTTTGGATCGATATTTCTTTTCAATTGTGCTCTGTCTGGCAAGTAAATCCTCTTCATAGTCGACTTTTTACAATCAAAATGAGATTGAGCGAAATAATTATTCCGTGCGATCGAAGAAACCCCACCTAAACTAGGAAACTGTCTTTAAACGTGCAATACTGTGGCAACATTGAGAAAAAGTATCGCGATAGCATGATATTGAAATGAAGCATAGATGCAAATTAGCGTTGTTAATTTTTTATTATCGCTCTTTGTTTTACTTTTATTTTGACTTATGCAAATTACGCGTCACACAGCGCCGGTTATTCTTGTCATAAAAACAATAATTGAACATTATTATATCTAAATTCTAACACGTTAAAACTGGCGGAACTTTTCCGAATGTTCCGCATTTTTCACGCCCGTGGTTTTTGACAGGGGAACCAACAGATTAGCATCGGCCCGTTTGAGAAACACTATATTCCTTAATAAAAAGTGTTTAACGGGGCTGAGTAAAAACAGCTGTAAAAACACCCCAATTTAGAAATTAAAAACATCGCAATTCAAGGCCCTGTTACACGATGCAATTTTTCTTGCAACTTGCAATGCAATTCTACTTTTGAGAAATGTTTTTGGGAACAACGTATCTTTTGTGTTAATTACACTTCATTCATTTTTCTTCTGCAAGACTCTTCACTAATTTACATCTCTTAGAAGTAGAATTGCATTGCAAGTTGCAAGAAAAATTGCACCGTGTCGCACGGCCTTTATTCACTGTCGCTGCTGATGCAAGTAATGAAAATTGAAGTTAGGAGTTTTTCTAGCAGTTTTTCCAAATATTTGATGAACTCCTTAAAAACCAACTGATAAATTTGAGCAAATGAATTACTCGATAGTTTTCCGAACGCTTCTATTGCAGCGACTGTAAGTTTTAGTTTTTAAGTTAATTACTTTAGTCGACATGCTGTGCAGTTTTCAAACTATAGGAGTACTAAGGGATTCAAAATCCCAAGCGAGTTATGCAATCTGCCGACTAAATTTCCAACTGCGTACGAAAATATATTAAAATTTACATAAATACAACAGTAATTAATGCTACTTCCCACACAATGGGTTTCTATCTTTCGCTTGCCCAAGTTCGTCCAGACGGATGATCGGTCTCTACTCTAGTATAAATCGGCGCAATCGTTACGATAAGAAAAATTGGGATCTCTTACACACAGAGAGCGAGGAGAAAGCTTTTCCTGTAGTGTTCACCTACTTCTATACTTATATAATCATATATAGTATAAGCACCTTATAGTCCTTATTCAACGGGCGCTTTTTCTCGGCCAAATGCGAAATATTTCTTAAATAAATAAATCGCTACACGCGAAAATTATCGCTATAGTTAGTAGTGGAAAACTGACACGGGGTCGGAACTGCTTTCTTTTGGCAAATGTTTGTTTTTCGCACAAACCGTTAATCAACTCGCATTTGGTCCTCATGTTGTATGAGAAACAACACTAAAACCGAATACTCGAAAGCAATATTCGAGATATCAAATACGTGAAAAAATTCACTCCTATAGAAATTGTCGCAAGCGCACTCCATATAGTACGATAGAGAATAAATTGTCCTTGTACACTACAACTAATTCCCAATCAATACAGGTAATAAAGTGGTATTATCAACGTAATACAGGCTGCAAACATCTAATACGCCCCTCATGAAAAACAGCAATGCTGATGAGGCTAGCACGATGAGCCTAGCAATCTTTGTACGCCCCTCATGAAAAACAGCAATGCTGATGAGGCCAGCGTGTTTAAATACGCAAAGTATTATGTATGTATGTATGTATGTATGTATGTATATATATGTATGTATGTAAGAATGCCAAAGAAAATTATTTCGAATGCGACTTAGTGACTGCATGACCTGACGAATTTTTAAGTTAAAGACGTTTTAATACCACTTTATTATTTATTATTATTATTTAATGAAACTAACATTGTAACCCAAAGGTTAAATTGCGTTAGAATTTACATACAAACGATATATTAAAAGCTATTTAAGTAAAGCTACTATACTAGACTATATTAAAAATTTAGAAAATTGAGGAATATTAAAATAATTGTTTTAAAACTCTTTGTGGAAAGAAAGAGTTTTTAAATCGTTCGGTATGGCAGCGATAATGATTATATAGATTGTTATAGCGTAGTTCATAGTTAGTCACTCTCTTTGCGGGCAGATACTCTTCAAAGTAGGCACTATCAATATTATGTTGGAAGAACCTAGTTGAAAGATTCTCTCGACGACCCTGCAACGTATCAAGATTCAAGTTGGGCCTTGGCGGGATGTCCTTCAATTGGATTTCAAGCGGGAACTCTTCTGGCATGTAACATTGGCGAATGTACTTTCGTCCATAACTCTGTTTCCACGTTTACCTTTCTGGCAAAATCGGCGGAAGTGTGAGCGGTATTTCTTCATGCCAAAGAAATATATCAGGGGATCAAAACACGAATTCAAGAATGCAAACGCAATTAGCCAACGATAAGCGATGCGTCTTTCATTCTTCGATAGACCTTTATTGGCTGTTGAAAAAATACGATATGTTGAATAGGGTAAGAACACTGCGTAGGCCGAACACACCATGATAAAGGTTACACAAATCGTCCGTTTTAAAGGGTAAGCTTGTCTTGCAACCGTCTTGGCACGAAGTTGTCTCTTGATGTTCTTCACTTGAGCTCTTGCTGTTCGTATTATGATAGAGTAGATGACGGAGAGCATAAACACATGTAGGAAAGACAAGGCAGTAAGGAAAAGTTCGTATTCTGTGTGGAAGAGAAACACCAAACTGAAATAATGACCGACTCCAAGCAAAATGGCCGTTATCCACGAGGCAGCAATGGCAATCCAAAACACTTGCGATGTAAAAACAACTGTATACCTTAATGGCCAAACTACTGCAAACCATTTTTCAATTCCTATCAGTACGATCGCATTTGAAGTTGAGAATGTACATGCAACAAATAGCGACGTGTAAATGTTCGAATTCGCCGTCACAGCATTGAGAAGAAGGAGGTATGATCTCCAAGGAACGTACGTAGCGAGAGCGAAAATGTCAGCTATTGTTAAATTCAAGATGAGTTTATCAGCTGCTGTTTTGAGGGAGCCTCTTCTAAGGAGGAAATACAGCAATACCATCGAATTTGCGATGCAGCCGAAAACGCTTTGACTAGCCGTGAACACGCTAAGAA